TCTCTCTCTCTCTCTCTCTCTCTCTCTCTCTCTCTCTCTCTCTCTCAGCTGGGGGCAACAACTTCACTTGCATCTGAAAAACTTCCCCGTGACTCCTGTAGGAGCAAAGGGCCTTTACCTGAGGTAGTGCTCGGGGCATTTTAAACACGTGTGCACGTGACTGGGGTTGGCCTTTAAGACCCAATCTGTTTTCCAAATGTCAAAGGGGTATGTGGAGCAAGACATTATTGTACTTCTGTTTTATTGTACTTCCATGAAGTCTGGGGACTTGCGAGAGACATATTCAACAGAGAATAATCAAAATGCATGCAGCCAAGCATGGGATATCCTGACTTCTAATTCCCAGGAAGTGTTTGGGCTCGACGTTAGGGTTAGGCTCCAAAAACACCAGATCCTACATTTTCCATCATGCGTCTAAAAAGCATTGTTTATTAGAACCTCTATGCAAATATCTTAAAAATATTCATACTTCAGAGGGCTGCCTCCAGAGACATTATGCAACAGCTTTTACAGGCTGAGCAGCACTCTGCGATGAGAGTATCAGTGAAGGAACCTCGCTTTGACCCACAAACCACTGAGCAACGAAGTTATGCAATATCTTCTGCCGCAGTTAAATGTTTGTTTACATCACCAGAATGTGTTCACAGACCTTCAGCAAAGGGCCCCGAGTTATCTGAAAAGCTCTGTAAAATCTCTACACACACATTAAAAAGAATGTTCATTTAAATATACAAATATCCTGGTCATCAATATTATTTTTTGGGGTCTGTTATGCCTTCATTAGATACACGAGAGTACAGATGACAGGAAATAAGGTGAAGGAAGATGGGGTCCTCAGCCAGGGGACAAATGTTGCAGTTCATGGCCTTGGCCCTGACCCCTCGGTCCTTTTGTGTGTTCAGGTCTCAGTGGGTCTAAAGCCAGACTCTGATCCTGATCATTGAGACACCTTGGTACAGTTCCCTGAGGAGGTCCACCTTAAATAAAAGGTAAATACTAAGAGAGGTGTTTAAAATATTGTATTTATCTCAGTGTTATTACAGTGTGGACAGAGTCTAGATGTCAATAACCAAATATATATTAGGGACAGGCTAATCAGTAAGATGCAGACTGATACACTGTTTAATGCAATAACTTACAGCAGGCAACAGGACAAAGAGAGCCTACTGTATGCGCAGCCATAATAAGGTTGTAGTGACCGGTCGTAAATTAGCCTACATATCAATAATAGCTAGCCTATTGCCACACTGTCTCCATCATCCTCGTTAACATCATGTCGCTCTGCGGCATGTAGGCTTCCACCATGTCTCCTTCGTAGTCCCGTTACCGACACCGACAAAGCAAGTGACAACACCGGTGACACAAACGACCACAAACACGTCCTCACCGGGAGAGTAGAGCCGTGCCAAGTGTCGGGCCCCGGCGTGCTGCGGTCCCCAGCGAGGCTCCGCGCTGCGTGCAGCCGCCCCGTGCTCGTTCCCGTTCGGATCCTCCTCCGCCATGGACCGGTGCCTAATGTCGGTCTCGGAGAGAAGCGACGCCGCCATGACTCCTTCCCGCTGCCCGGTTTCAGCTTTACGACATCAATAACAGATGTGTCTCGGTCAATAACTGTTTGGTGTCCCGGCCTCCGGTAGCTGTTGTTGTGGCTGGATGGCGGAGGGAGGCTGAACCGATTGATGCTAGCTGGGATGCACCGGAGTAGACTCGCGCCACCCGGAAACACACAGAGGGAGATGCGCTGACACACAGACCTGTTTCACAGTTTTAACCGTCTGTCATGCCGCGCTGTTAGTTTGTAACGGAGAAAAAAAACAAACGTGCATATGCGTTTCACAACATTAAAAAACGTGAAGTTTGTTTTTGTTTGTTTTACGGCTCTTACCGCGCGGGTTTAGTTCAACACACTTTGTGTATGTGTCACGACAGCTGAAGGCAGGGACCGTCTGCATCTCTACACGTAGTGGAAGTGGTAGGCCTACCTACAATTCAGTTTCTGGTGTGTAAGTGAAAATGGTCTGTCTGCTCCCTCTATGCACAACAATAGTGACATTAAACAATACAATTAGGACACTAATGCACTTTAAACAGTCATCTGCTGCAGGTGTAAATTCAAAGTGGGAACAGTATTGGCTACTGTGGAAAAATAATAATAATATATATATATATTACAATTAAATGTGTAAAAATGAATTATGACATCTTTGTAATGTAATATTTAGTTATGTTGGTAAATTAAGTGTGTGACACAAAACAAATGCATTTAATAGAACAAAATGTATTATTTGACCCTCCACACCATATGTTTTAGGGTCAGTCCTGCAGAAAGTTTAACAGGTCCGGTTTCTGCAGAACACCTTGAAACCAGTGGATTCATACACAAGACATACACAGTGAGCCCACAGAGGAAAACTTGTACTGCTCTGGTAATACAAGTGTACAAGCCTTCTGGTGAGGAGGCTCCCAGCAGCTGCAAAAACTTAGCTGCCCAGACACATGGATACTGCTGGAACAGAAGGTTGCATACATCTAAACAAGTCAGTCAGTCATGAAAAAACACAGCCAGAGGAGATCATGTTAAACAGCAACATGTGTGTGATTTATGTTTAAAGCAAATGGAAGGGAAAGTGGGTCATAGAGTCCACTGTAACATTCTTGGAATAACACAAAATACCAAAGTGAAACTCAGTTTTTTTTATATAAGCCCTCTTAAGTGATGGTTTTCGCCATGCAGACGATGAATCACATTGACTTAGACGATGCCCGGACTTTTCATCTCGCACTCAACAGCTGGTCAGAGTTTTCACTTATCCTGTGAAAGATCCCAAGATCTACGAAATGGATTGGCACACAACTGTGTCCGGATTATTAACGTTTCCCAGAGGCTGAATTCTAATTGGCGACCGTCTGACTTTTACTGTAGTGCCACCACGAGGACGACCTTTGAGGTTTTGAGTGAAATGTCTCAACAGCTTTCGACTGCATTGCCATACAAATTGGTACAGACATCTGGATGATTGGTAATCACTTTGGTGATCCTCCAACTTTTATTGACTGCAGCTATGAGGTCAAGTATTCAATTTGCCCGATCATTTGGTTTCTGACTAAATACTTTAAGGCCAAATAAGGGAATTCCTGAATCATCTAAACTTTGTGTTGAGTGCTATTTAGCAAAAAAAAAAAAAAAAAAAAAAACAATGATGGTGAACATAACGCCTGCTAAATGTCAACAAGCTAGCATTGGCATTGTGAGGATTTTAGCATAGCGACATTAGCATGCAGCCCAAAGCACCCTTGAGCCAAGGTACAGCCTCACAGAGCAGCTAGCATGGCTGTAGACTCTTACCGCAGACAGGGTAAGTGAAGGGGTCGTCAGTACTGCTCATCCCACTGAGAAACATACTCCTCAATTTTGCAGATCTGTTCATATTTGCCTCTGTCTGTCATTGTTTTGGCTTGACAACCTGTGCAGGACTGTATTGCCGAGTCTCATTGCTCATTCATACCAAATCTAAACACGTGTTTGATCCACGAAATCTTACCTTCATCAGGGGAGCGGAGACGCATCTTCAATGGGATGGTCATGATGCTCTGTGTCTGCTGGATGTGCCAGTATAGGCAGTTGCTGGCTGGTACATCAAGGCTGTGTTTTGGAGAATCTTACCTCCATATTTGTACACTTTCTACATCCAAAATAACTGTGAGTCAGTCACTGTACTGTTCACACTGCTGGGACTCAAAAGAGATTTCAATCTGAACAGGAATTCTTGTTCAAATGTTATAGTTATTATATATTATAGAAATCTGTTGTTTTCCATTTTAAAGTTAAATGGAGGACACAAGCACTCGACTACAAATCCCAAACAGGCATTATGTGTCTCTTTATCAGTAGGTCCATACCGAGATGATTGTGGCAAAGTGTGATCAATGCCACAGTTATCTTTGTGAGTGTGGTCCCTGGGTATCATGACAGTCTGTGCTTTGTTGCAACAGAGATGGGAGAAGTTTGCCAACAATTGTTGAATCTTCCCCGTGTCATTCCATCAGTATTCTTCACACAGCGCTGTGTGAATCGGTCAATATTAACGTTGTCCCTGTAAATCCCTTTGGTTTTACAGTGTGTGTGACAATGTTACATTTTCACCTCTACAGTATTTCTGCCTTTAAGGTCTCCCCTTTAAGGGGAATCTGAAAGTGACCCGTCACTGTGATGTTATCGAATCAATCTCCCGGATTTCTCTTGGACTCCAGTTTTCCTGACTCCACTCACGGCAGTGACATTTACACTGAACAGAGTGGATACGAGGACTTCCACTGTGCTGGAGTGTGTGATGTGTTCTCACTCAGACTTCTAATAATCAAAGAAGGAAGTCTCATATGCGCAACGATGCACATACAGCATGCAGGAATTACCAGAACCACGAAAAAATCGAGTGGATACCTCATGCTGTCACTGTGTTTTACCCGGAAAGCTGTTTTGGATCACGGAAAGTAAATTAACTCACGCTGTCATTTAAAAAAAAATATATTATTGTTTCATAGTCCTTAAAAATCCAAAATGTAATCTAATCATATTTTTATTAGGATAGAGAACATAAGATGTTTGCAATCACATATTTACAAGGACATTTTAAGACTTACTAGAAACAAGAATAATATAAACAATTTAAGTTTATAAATCGTTGTGTAACCTTTGACCCCACCAGTGGGTCACGTTCATCTCGACTCATGGAGTCAAACTATACCAAAGCCACATCTGTACAACATAACGCCCGGTACTGATAGAACACACATGCGAGTTGTTGATCACAACAAAAATGTGTTTGTCTATAACGGTATCATTTAAAATGACATTTATCTGAACACCTTTGTCCCCTACGCCCTCACTCACACATTCAACCCTTCAGGTTTGGTGGTAGGTGTCATTAGGTGGACGTTTTCTTTGAAGATCGTTTCCTTTGAGTACTTTATTCTGTAGATCTGAAGACCTGTTTCACAAAGAAATATGCAGATGATTCGAGAAAAGTCACAAAAAATAAAAGTAGCAGAAATATGTTTCCTCTTCTAGTTGAATGTTGAAAGGTTTATCTAAAGCCCTGTGAACTGCCTTTGTGCATGAAATGTGAAATCTAAACCATTCTGGATCTAAATCATTCTAAATCATTCTGAATTTAGACCATCTCGTCTCTGAATCATCCTCATTAGTATTTCCACCCAGCTTGGAGAGTATTGCACTTGAATATTAGAGATATAGTTACTAATGACACTGTATGCATGCAAGCTCACATATTTAGTTCTTTTCAATAAATGCACATCACACAGGAATTCTTTATTTGTCATTTCTTTATTTGTTTTATCTTTTTTGTCTGTACTAGATTATTGCAATCTGGTTAATTCACATTTAAAAAGCAGTCATTGACCAGACGCACTGAAATCGATGATATTCATTTTTACAATAACCATTATAGGCCCCATAGAGACTGGAAAACCCAATCCAAAAAAAAAAAAAAAAAGAAACATCTGTATGGTTTTCTGCACTTTATTTTGTTTGATGAGACTTTTTTTGATAGTAATTACAAAAAAGAAAAATATATATAACAATAATCATAAAAAGGAGAGTTGGGGGGGAAAAAAACTCAGGAATATTACGACTGGCAAACAAACAATCACAACACAGCACAAGTACCTACTTACGGCGAGAAATGAAAGGTACAAAAAATTTAAACAAAATTCAGCGCATATGGCAGAAAGAAAAATCAAAGAAACTGGCACCTATGAAGTTAAATACAATAAGCAACCGAGGGGACGAGAAAGTGAAGCCTTTTTACTACAATCTATTAAAAAAATCCCAAAACAAAGGGTGTTTTCTTGCTTTTTGTCCTTTTCTATTTGTTAAAAAAAATAAAATGCCTGACCCAGGGAGTGATGGTTGGGAGGAGAGGAAAAGAGAAGGGGGAGGAGGAAGAAGCTGGTGGGGGTTGGTGGTGTGGGGGGGGGGGGGGGGGGGGCAGGGACAATAAAAAATACTGCACGTACAATACCTTTTCTCACTCCTCTCTTTCCTTCATCTAGCTCTTACCGTTTCTCTCACCCACTTTCTCCTTTCTTTATTTAATAGCATATCCCATTAATATTCCTTTCCCCCGCTGCTCCTAATAGCCGCGCCCAGTGGCGCGATCGTTAGAGTTTTACATGTGAGTAGCAAATGACACTTTGATTGGCTGTGATGTGGAGATGGGAGTCCCCCGCCGGCTCCGGGTCGGGGGCCCCGGCTGAGTCGAGAGATCCTGCCGGGCCTCGGTCTCACTGCGCGTGCTGACTCAGTGTGTGGTTCTGCAGGGAGAGAGGGAGAGGGAGGGATAGAGAGAAAAACGTGAGAACACATGATGAGAGAAATAATGGGCTACGTGAGCACAGTGCTTTCCACTTGCACCCCCACCCAATAATAGAACAGAAACACAACCGCCTCCCACAGTACAGACAGCGAGGCCTCCTCGCTTTAAACATAGTCTGACGAAAGAAGGGGAAGAGAACGGAGGGGAAGAAAAGAGGACAAAACAAGACCAGCGGACGAGGCAAAACTAAAGTCGTGGGTACAGCACTGAGGTGTTGTTGCTCACACTAAATATTATGAGAGATCGGGCAAAAAGAAACAGATTTGAACATTTTGACATATATTGACACACCCAAACAACGCACCTAGTCTAATCTAATCGAATAAAAGCAGCACCTGGTTTTGGTCCAGACCGAACCATTATAGCTCATTTAGTATTTGTTCTGTTTTTGTTTTATTTCTAATCTGTGGGAACCCAGAGCCTCCATTTGTTTATTCCGATCTGTGGAACCCTTGTGTCTTTTGATATTGTGATTAATATTTTACAGAGACCGTCTCCATACCGCGGAGACGCCTACACT